AAATACATCATGCAAAGTTATCGGTAACGACTGAAGCTTGTTTGATTGTTCATGTGTGTGTGCACTGTGTTCCCTGTAGGCTGTTCCACAACCCTGAGGAGTTCCTATAAAGGGTGGTTATTCTTACACCTCCCTGTCCATATCTCAGTGGACTGATTCTTTTCTGCTGGACCAGATAGAGACTTGGGAGAATTCTGAAACAGTCCGTTTCCTTCCCCAGCTTATGTAAAGGAAGCTATGGGAGTTGTCTTCTACTGGAAAAGTATATGTTGACCTAGGTTACAGTATTTTCTTTTGTGGGGCAGCATCTTCATAACAAACCAGCTACTTAATTATATCTGGCCTCTAGTGGAGCAGTGTGAAAAAAGAAAGAAGCCATGGTGTGTGAAGATGGTGGGGTTTGTGATGCAACCCTTCTGAAGAGAACTGCACTGGGGATGATGGCTTTGCAGCAAACTGCAGTTTTTACAAGGAATGATGCTGTACTGCCATGTCTATGCTGAGGTGACAAGAGTTCCTCATGGCCCTGGTCCTGGTCCTGTTGGGCTTTCAGAAAACTGTAAAAAAAATGCCTCTTCTGACAGGACCTGGGACAGGGTGTCTGGTTCCCTGATGGTGGTGGGTTGGAAATTTGCTTGCTTAATTATTTTTCCCCAATGTGCATGATATACTGTTGATTTTGTTCTTTTTTTGTTCTTTTTCTTTTTCAAACTTGATGTTTTAATCCTATTTTGTAAGCCACCTGGAATCATTTTGTGGTTGAAGTGGAATATAAGTTGATAAAGTACTGAACTGCCAGCATTAATTGTATGTGACCTGATAGAGGTGCTACCACATTTGAATGGATGGAGATTTTTTGGGGGGGGGGGACAGGATTGGGAAACAGGAAGTTCTTGAGATGTTCAGGTCCTGGCCTCTTAGCTGGAGTCTAGGGGTGATTGATAGTTGGTGAGGTGAAGAATCACTGTGATATAATCTGACAGATTGGCTCCAATCCAGGTTTCAGAAATGACATTTTGAAGCAGTTCACATTTTAAACCATCTTCAGTGACTGCCTTGCATAGGTGACAATATAAGCTTTTTTAAAAAATTAAATTGATTTATACTTTACTGTTCTGTCCTGATGAATATTGATTTTGAATGACTGAAGTGAAGTCTGGATTCTCCAGGCAATGTTACAGTTAGTAGATAAGATAAAATGTAACTTCTATATTGAATATAATTCAAACCTTTGCCAACTTCAGACTGGGATTTAGCAGACTAGGGTAGACTCACTCTATTTAATCATCCACTTTAGGGAGCAGATTTCCAGTGCTGAATGTTTTAAATTGAAAATCAGGATGAGCTACAGAGGTGTTTCTCAACCTCAGCAACTTTAAGCTGTGCGGACTTCAACTCCCAGAATCCCCCAGCCAGTCCACACAGCTTAAAGTTGCTGAGGTTGAGAAGCGCTGATCTATAGTAACATTTTCCAGACTGAACCTGGAAGTCGATCAGGATTGCATATTTTATAAATGTTTAGGTGCCTGGGAGTTTTTCCTCTGTATTTCTTTTAACTAAAGAAAAAAAAATTCACTTTTTTCCAGGTGGTTCCTGGAATGGCTGCATTATTACTTAGCTAATCCTAAAAGTGTCAGGGAAGAATCTTCAGCTCTTCACAAAGCCCAACACTACTGTAAGCAGGCGAGCTTTAAAAAAAAAAAAAAGTTAAAGTTTTAAAAAAGCTTTGCCAAGATGGAAAATTTAAATAGTGTAATCCTGTCTGCCCCCACTATGGTGGGCAAGGGCAAATGCTAGCTAGACTTCATCCAGGTTGCTCCACTCAGTCTCAGTTTGTGTTCCAGCAGAAATCTGGGGAGAATCTGTTTTGGGGGAATGTAGCCTCATGTTTAACCATTCCTCTTGATCTCTGGGACCTGCCACAAGATCTTTTGCTTATCTGGATTGATCTTTGTTAGTTTTCACATTGTTAATAGAATAGTTTTCTAATATATCAGTATGCTTCTTTCAGAGACAGGGATTACTAAATAACACTAATTATCCTTACTGAAATTAATATGCTGACATTATTCCTTAATGTGCTTCAACTGTTTGCTTGCATTTGGTACAGCATGACAAGAATAGAATTGAAAGACTACCTTGAAAAAATATATAATGTACCAGTAGCTGCTGTTCGAACCAGGATACAGCATGGTGAGTCTTCATCTGAAGAACATTCATTATTCTGTTTATTGACAAAACTCTCTTTCACGTAGTTTTTCTCTTCCAAATCTTAGCTATTTAAAGAAGCAATTGCTGGCTATTGATTAGTGCAAGTTTATTTTTCTTTGCAAATTAGTCAATTCCTATATGAATTGGATTTTTTCATTACTTTTTTTTCTTTTTGAAAGAATCAAACATGAGATTACATTAATTTAAAAAGTATTGTTCTAGTCCAAATCTGATACTTGAATTAACCTTCTTAAATAAAGTTATTTCACTTCATATAATAATATTTTAGGATAAAAAGATTCAAATCCTGTTGGGTTTGTGCCAGGCAGCACTGCAGATAAAATACAGCAGAACTGGGTTAAGAAAGTACATCTGTAGAAGAAGGTAGGTAGGTAGTTTTCTGAAGAAAATGGTAGTTCATTACTTTTACCATCTTGAAACAAATGCTGAGACTGTGGGAGTTCAATAGGATAACTTTAAGCTGTTAACAGAAAAAGACAAATAAAATTCAAAAGATGTAACAGAGGCCCGATGGGATGACTTCCATGGCTTTAGTATAGTAACTGAAGGATATAGTCTGGTCAAAAGGAACAGACAGAATAGAAAGGAGGGAAGAGGAGTTACATTGTATGTTCAAATACCCACACCTCAGAAATCCTAGTGAATGAACTTGGTGATATTGTAAAACATTTGGGTTAAAATAAATGAGGAAATAAATAAAATACAGGTAGTCCTCGATTTAGGATGGCCATTGGAACTGGAATTTCCATCACTAAGCAGTAAAGTCGTAAAGTGTGACCACCTCGCTTAGTTGCGGCAATACCTGCAGTCCCAGTTGCTGTCATTAACTGAATCTCACAGTTGTTCGGTGAGGCAACTTCCTGCTGTCTCCAAAAAAAGTAAGGGGAAAAGCTGGAAGGAAGTTGCAAGTCCCAGGCCTGCAGACAGATAACTGGCTG